CCATGATAGTTGGCGAGATATACCCGTGAATGTCCCAGCTAGCTCGACCAAATAAAAAGAAAATTACCGTCGAACTGGAAGACTTTAGAGCTAATGACACGTAGGTAGCTAGATGGGTAGTATATACTAGAACAATCGACCTCCGTGGACGTAATAAAGTGTTCGGTTCGAGATTCCAACTTATATCACCTGAAGAAGGCCGGAGCGTATAACGGCCGAAACGTCTTGAATATGACAATAAAGGCGAGGATAACAGTCCGAACAATATAAAGAGTTACAATACCCCATCAAATAGACAGATCCTGAAGAAGGTCGGGCCGTACAACGGCCGAAACGTCTTGAATATGACAAGAAAGACGAGGACGAGAATCCGAACAATGTAAATAGTACAAGTAAAGAACTCTTGCTTAGTTTACTAGATGCTACTTAATTAATATCTATCACCAATGTAAATATTTAAACCAAATCGAAAATTTGGCCTGTTTAAAATTTGGCAAAACGTCTTGTTATTTGTTGAATTCAAATATCGAGTTTTGCTTTCTTTAATAAAAATGACAGAGTAATTTTTATCGATTTCACTAATTTGAGTAATATCGACAATTCCTACCACAAGCGAACTTATCAATCAACCCCGAAGTAAAAACTAATTTCTCCAGGCGATTGAACGCTGTGAAATTTTCAAAATAAAATTCAATTTCGACTACTTTAGCCATTTCTGTCTTATCTTCATCTCAGCACCCCTGAAGGCTCCCGGTAAAGTTTAATTGTATTTCGTAGGCTTTTTGAAAAGTATAATATGGTTTTAAAACAAAACCAAAAAGCATTGATTAAAAATTTAAAATCTTGAAGAATTGCAATCAGAAGAAAACCGGCGTAAGCAATGCATATTTATAAAAGCGCTAACATTTTTGACCGGCTTTGCAAATAAATTGCTTACGAAAACGTCGAATGCGGCGTCAAAATTAAGCGTAGAAATTTCTGGTAGGTGTGTGTATGTGTGTGTGTGGGGGGGATTGGACAAGGCTAAATTGTTTTCTTTCCTTTTCTTTCCTTTTTGTTGAAAACTTGATTATGCGGTCATTTTGGGAGTTACAGCAATCTTTTATTTATTTATTTATTTTTTTATTGCGTAAGAAATTGATTCTTTAGTAATGAGAATTTTCAAAATGTACTTAACATCCTGAGGTTGGTCGGAGGCGGAGATATTTAGCGAAATGAAAACTTTCATTTTTGGAAAATGATTTTTAAAGCAATGAGGAAAGTAGACAAACAGTGAACCATATTCAACGAAATTTTATAAATGTTGCGTAATGATTATCAAGAGGTTTTAAATGAGTCCGACCACCACTGAGCGCCTCACGATTATAGCCTTGTGTCAGATTCAACTTAGTATCAACTCTAGAAATATTGAAACGCACTTTCATATATGTATATAGACATGTACGTTGAGGTGTGTTTTAATATATATATATATATATATATATATATATATATATATATATATATATATATATATATATATATATATATATATATAGTGTTTATACGTTATTTTATAGATATAAATATTTAAGTAAATGCTCTCTTTATAATAAACAGTATTAACAACATTTACCGGCCTGAATGTCCGAAACATCTAAAAAAAATATGTGTTCCCCAACACCAATCGAACCTGTATCCTACAAGGAGCAGCCATATAGCCTGACGTGTTATACCATTCAGCTACAGAGGAAGCGGTTCAGTGTACAATATAGGTTCGATTCCTGTCGGAGGACATATTTTCTTTGAGAATTTCTTGAGATCATTATATCATCTATCTATCTATCTATCTATCTCAGTTCTTTTCATATCTATCTATCTATCTATCTATCTAAGTTCTTTTCATATCTATCTATCTATCTATCTATCTATCTATCTATCTCAGTTCTTTTCATATCTATCTATCTATCTATCTATCTATCTATCTATCTCAGTTCTTTTCATATCTATCTATCTATCTATCTATCTATCTATCTCAGTTCTTTTCATATCTATCTATCTATCTATCTATCTATCTATCTCAGTTCTTTTCATATCTATCTATCTATCTATCTATCTATCTCAGTTCTTTTCATATCTATCTATCTATCTATCTATCTATCTATCTCAGTTCTTTTCATATCTATCTATCTATCTATCTATCTATCTATCTATCTATCTCAGTTCTTTTCATATCTATCTATCTATCTATCTATCTATCTATCTATCTCACTTCTTTTCATATCTATCTATCTATCTATCTCAATTCTTTTCATATCTATCTATCTATCTATCTATCTCAGTTCTTTTCATATCTATCTATCTATCTATCTATCTATCTATCTCAGTTCTTTTCATATCTATCTATCTATCTATCTATCTATCTATCTATCTATCTATCTATCTATCTATCTCAGTTCTTTTCATATCTATCTATCTATCTATCTATCTATCTATCTATCTCAGTTCTTTTCATATCTATCTATCTATCTATCTAAGTTCTTTTCATATCTATCTATCTATCTATCTAAGTTCTTTTCATATCTATCTATCTATCTATCTAAGTTCTTTTCATATCTATCTATCTATCTATCTATCTATCTCAGTTCTTTTCATATCTATCTATCTATCTATCTCAGTTCTTTTCATATCTATCTATCTATCTATCTCAGTTCTTTTCATATCTATCTATCTATCTATCTATCTATCTATCTCAGTTCTTTTCATATCTATCTATCTATCTATCTATCTATCTATCTATCTCACTTCTTTTCATATCTATCTATCTATCTATCTATCTATCTCAGTTCTTTTCATATCTATCTATCTATCTATCTATCTCAGTTCTTTTCATATCTATCTATCTATCTATCTATAATATAAATTAGGTTTATTTAAGCAGCAAGAATTGATCTCAAAATATTTTCTTAAATCCAACCAAAATTTTTTATCGTATTTTCCCTATTTTCGAATAAGATGTTATATATTAGGATTGAAATTAATAATTTTGAGAAAATACGGCAAAAATTAAATAGACAGATCTTTATAGCCTCATCTACCGCAAGGAAAATTGGTTCTCTGTGACGCGCCAGAAGTTTCCTCTCGCCGGTGTCCATCCTTCAATTCTACAAATCAACCATTCGTCCTTGCATGGAATTTACGTAAATTTTTTCTTTTTCTGATGAACCAAGAAAGAAACACCTTCTTGGGGAAATAAAATATAATCAATGGCCCTTAAGGTTGTCTGTTTTCTAATTAAATTAAATTAATAATTGCTCTGATTTGACATCCTCCTTGGAGTTATCCATACGGATTAACAAACTTTTCATTACCTATATATATATATATATATATATATATATATATATATATATAAATATATGGATATAGATCCGACAGTATGAAGAAAAATAGATACGGAAAAAACAAAAACAAACAAAATCCTTATATACAATTATGCTGTTTTAATGTTAATATGTCAACGTCGGACGTTTCAGTCTAATAAAACATCTTCAGGACATATTCATAAATTATAACATGTTGTCATGTTGTATTGATAATGTTATAATTTATGAATATGTCCTGAAGATGGTTTATTAGACCGAAACGTCCGACGTTGACATATTAACATTAAAACAGCATAATTCTATATAAAGATTTTTTCCGTATCTATTTTTCTTCATATATATATATATATATATATATATATATATATATATATATATATATATGAACTAATATAGTCTTAAGGTGTGGTATATTTATGGGATAAAGTACTCAATATCAGAGATAGAGCGTGTGAAAATATAAAAGTAAACATTGAAGTCAACACTTAGAGTCGACAGTCTGTTTCATGCTAGATGCAATTGTCTGGCCACTGTCGCCTCTAAGTGTTGACTTCAATGTTCATTAATATATATATATATATTTAAATATGTTTTTTAACGGTACAAAAAACGTATTATGGCATTAAAGGCAAATTTTTTTTTTACTATAGGCCATGATAAATTTTAAAACAAAAACACAAGTCGACCGGTTTCGTCCCCTCTCGTCAGAACTGTAACGGGGGAAACTAATTATGAGAAAAATACTCAACAAAATTTTTTCGTTTGGTGATACCATTCTAAATACATACGAGTCTTCTATAGCGGATCACTTGATAAATAATCTGACCTGTGCTATGGATTTTAGTGTGAGCTGGTTTTCTCTTCTTGCCTTTAATGCCATAATATATATATATATATATATATATATATATATATATATATATATATATATGTATGTGTGTGCGTGTGTGTGTGTGTGCAGGTATGTAGAAAAATAGGAAAGAACACGTTAGGTAAATAATCCAGGGTTCTTTAGTATTTTTGTTTTTATTTTTAAAAACAGTGCTCTATACAGAAGTAGAGCTTAAATTATAATTATTTAAAAAAAAAAGATTCCTTCGCTACATAAGAGTTCTCATGTTTCAAAAACGAGAGACGAAACCATTAATATTATTATTAAAATTACATTGAATTAAAGTAAAAAGCCCGTTTCATCCTCAAGCGAAAATTTAGGAATAACCAATTTTGAAATTTACGTATCGTTATAAGCGTGTTCATATATACTGATAGTTGTGACTTTATTTCCAGTTATACCATCACTTGATCCATCCGGAAATTTGAACAGGACGGATCTGGATTTATCGTTCAGCTAGGGTCTTTGCGCTGATGTTGCAACGTTGTATATTTTTTTTGTTGCAGCAGTTGTTACATAAATGCCGCAGAACGTGTAATAAATCACTCCCCGCTCTGTGTGTTGTGTGGGGGTCTTTGATGGTTTTTGAAGCCTCCCCTATTAAGACGCGAGCACACACCAGATCAAATTCTGTGGCAATAGACCAATCCGAATCTTTGTCTTGAGCGTTTCATTCGTAAAACGTGTTTGTTAAAAGCCGGTTACATGAAGAACTGATTGAGTAAAAACCAAAATCTAGCAGAATGACTAGGGAAACCGAATTTTACTTCTTTTTTCCTGGAGGAAAGAAATGCACAAAGATATCAGAGCCGGTGTGTGTGTGTGTGTGTGTGTGTGTGTGTGTGTGTGTGTGTGTGTGTTGGGGGAGGGTTAGAACTAAAAATGACTGTAGTATATCGTTTACAAAGCAGAGAAATATTCAGAATCTAAGTAAATGGGTCCCATATTGACTTTGGAAATATCAGTTTGCGTTCAAAGCGTTTATTTTTCTCTTTTTGTTCGATATAGAAAATAGTTATTTTTCGATACTCATTATTATATGGATAAGCCAATCGGAATAGAGAATTTCATTTGACCGATAACTGTCTTCGCTGAAAGCGTTAAAATCTTCACTCAAGAATCAGAAGTTAGAAAAGTAAACAGATTGACGCGTTGCGCCTTCTCGGGGTGATATTGTCGGCAGACATGAACTGGAAAGATTATATTGAATCTATTGCTAGGTCTGCTAATAAGAAAGTTGGTTCACTGTGTCGTTCTAGACAATTTTTCTCTTCTGAATCTATCTGTCATATCTATAAGTCTATCATTCGTCCATACTTTGAATATTGCTGCCATATATGGTCTGGTGCTCCTGTTGTATATCTAGAGATATAAAATCCAAAGATAATCCAACAATATTATCGGTCCTGACCTGGGGTTTCGTATTCAGTCACTTTCTCACCGCAGAAGAAGAAGAAAAAGAAGAAGAAGACGAAAAAGAAGACGAAGAAGAAGAGGACGAAGAAGAAAACGAAGAAGACTATATTTAAAAAAAATGAAGACGAAGAGCTTTACGAAATAACAAAAATCACATCACATGAGGATTTTCTACAGCAACAACAAAAAAAGAAGACGATTAAGAAGAAGAAGAAGAAGAAAAAATGAAGAGGACGAAGAAAAAAGCAAGAAGAAGTCGAAGTAGACGAAGAAGAATATCAATATTATTATATATCATTTACACACACACACACACACACATATATATATATATATATATATATATATATATATATATATATATATATATATATATATATAGATACATCTAGTGAGCCAAACAAACCTAGGTAGGTTTCGCCTAAACGGATCGTCAGGAAATTTCCGAAAAGAAAATAGAATTTCCCTGACGATCCGTTTAGGTGAAACCTGGGTAGGTTTGTCTGGCTCACTAGGTGTATCTAGGTCTGCTCTACGGTTGTATTGAGTTCTTTTGTCAGTTGTTTACTCGTGTCGGGGTTTTTTCTTTGGGCTTCAAACCTGCATCTGTACGATTTTTTTTCGACAGACTTTCATGTTTGTAGCTCTTTCTTTTTTCGAAACCTTTTTTTTCCCTCGAGATTGATTTGATTATTGGCAAATCAGAAATTCGAGGGTATAGTTACCTATATTTGTATATATATATATATATATATATATATATATCCGATGCGAGGGTCTTGTCTATAATATAAAATTATAAATAATTATTGCTCTACTATCGGTATCGAGCCCTCTTTTGGATTAATGCTGTGAACGTTGGAATTTATATAATACTCCCGTCGAAGTGCAGTTGAAATCCACTAAAACCAAGTTGCATCTTTGTAATGAGTAAAATAGTTTTGTCTATATGATAAAATTATATATATATATATATATATAAATAAATTTCCAGTTGCACAAAACTTTATAACATCTAGGAACAAGCGTATTTTCATATTTAAATTGCCAAGCATAGTTGTAAAAAAAAAAGAAAAAAAAAGACAATTTCGTCCCAGCTTATCAAGTTTTATTCTGGTAATTAAAAACGTATAAATCAATTATAGAGTGAGCTAATGAGGGGGTGGGGAAGAAAAAAGTTATTCAAGAAAACTAGAGGCCAATAATATTCAGACCCAGCAAACAATCACTTTGTTTACAGCGAGAAAGCTTGCGGGATCTGATATACAGAGATTATAGAACATTCAGATAATATAAAAAGTATGAACGAGACAATATATATATATATATATATATATATATATATATATATATAAAGTTTCATTACAGCGACTGACAAGGTACTGTGTTTAAGTTTTTTATTTAATTTTTCTTGTGTTCTTATAATTTTCTTCTTTTCTGGACATAAATTATGTAGAAATTGTCCGAATGTTCTGTATATCCAAGCACTTTCGGCTATTCTTTTAGTCATTATCAAGTATGATTTTATTTTTACTTTTAACTGAATGCATGGATTCTTTTCTGTATGTATCTAGAGTTACAGAAATGTTTTATTTTTTAAACACGGTCAGCACATTGTGGCCGTGTTCATAGTCGATGTTATTGAATAATGCCTTTTTCTTTTTTTTTATTAAAAATGCTTCCATTATTTTTAGCTATTTTTAAACATGTGGATGAGGAAATTATATTTGTATTATCAACGCGTATGTTGTGGATGGAGTTTGCTAGGTCTCCATGAGTATTTAAACGAAACCAAATTCAGCTATGGTGAGACAAGTGTAACGTGAGTCTATTTGTTAGGCATGTTGCAATACCTTGTCTGTTGTTTTTGACGAAACTTGTATAAAAGAGGGATTGCTGCCCCAATACAGAAATATATATATATATATATATATATATATATATATATATATATATATATATATATATATATATATATACAGGATGTGATGGATAAATTGTCTAAATTACGCGAAAATGAAAATAATACTGACATCTCATTTTAACAGATATACAGGGTGTTTCAAAAAATTTGATATCATTTCGCAATCTAATAACTTTCTTAGATCTCCTTCAAATGACTTCAAATTTTAATAGCATCTTTATGTTTAATGTTTGTTTTATGTTTTTATGTCTTTATGTTTTTGTGTTTTTCTTATTTGTATTTTTATGTTCTTTAATCTTTAATCTTTTTCTTTACAGGTATAAAAATGCCGTGTCTCAGGCGGTGCGCATATTGAACATTTGTGAAATCGTTCACATAATCCACATGCTTTTGAATTTCTCATTCAGATTTGGAAGAATAAATCTTATGATCTTCAACATTAATACTTTTTAATTTCATTTGCCTTAATCATGTACTTTCTGTGATATTTACATCTCAAAGGATATCAAATTTTTTGAAACACCCTGTATTTACCAAAACTGCACAAAAATATCTTGACATACTAAAGAGTAAATTTATTCCAATAAAATCATTGGCTTCAATCACGGCCTCCAGACGACTTCGGAATCTCCTGCAACTCTTTTGGGCAGTTTCCTTGTTTAAGTTGGTGAATGTTGCCATAATCCTTGCCTTCAGTTCATCTTTGGTGTTACAAGGAGTTTTTTTGGTCTTTCACTCAACTGTACCTCGCACTTAATACTCAAGAGGGTTGCAGTCTGGGGAGTTAGATGGCTAGACGTAAGGGGTGATGTGGTCGCAGAAATTGTCTGGCAGTCATGACTGGGTTCTCCTGCTTGTGTGGCATGGTGAAGAGACCTGTTGCTAGACACAGGATCTTCCAGCAGTCACCCTCTTGACCCAGGGCAGCACTACCTCCTTAAGGCACTTGATGCAGGCCTCTGTATTGAGTCTGAAGCTCTCACCAACAAATTTGGGAGTTCTTTCCTTATCAGAACGATCAGAGAAAGTTTTTCGAGTTGCCTTGCCTTCGTCATCACCATTAGACTCATCCAACTCTTTTCGAATCCTCTATACTGTCCTCAGATTGACACCCAAACACTCTGAAATGTACGTATTAGAGCTTCCGGCGCGAATGCCAAGCAGTACATCATGCCGTTTGCAAATTTCTGGACGAGTCAATTGTGTCATGGTGCTCTTTCTCTCACAGTGTTCAACTGATACGACTATACTGTGCAGTCGACAAAATCAAAATGAAACAACGCGCATGCGCGAAATTAAAAAAAAAAATCAAATGACGACAATTTATCCATCGCACCCTGTATATATGGGGATAAAAATTGCTTATTGATTTATCCGCTTATTGATAAATTCGTTTCTATGATTAAACATCAGTTCTCGTACGACGTAAGCACAGTCGATTCTGGTCAGTACTTAGAGGGCCCCCCCCCCCCAGCCTTCGAACACTGGGGATTGTGAGCAAACTACTACAATCCAAAATACCTTTCGGCTTTAAATAACTAATTCACCTACCTACCAACCTATCTATATATCTATCTATCTATAACAGCCAGTTCACATCTATCTATAACAGCCAGTTCATAGCTACTTATTTATTATAGCCTGTTCATAGCTATTTATAGCCTGCACATAGCTAAGGATCTATATTAGCCTTGTCCTATCTATCTATCTATCTATCTATCTATCTATCTATCTATCTATCTATCTATCTAATTCAGTTCATTATCTATCTCTCTTAGTCTCTTCATATCTATTTATATATCGGTCTATATCAAACTATTCATTATCTATCTATCTATCTATCTATCTAAGTTCTTTCATATCTATCTATCCATCTATCTATCTAAGTTCTTTTCATATCTCTCTATCTATCCATCTATCTAAGTTCTTTTCATATCTCTCTATCTATCCATCTATCTACGTTCTTTTCATGTCTATCTATCTATCCATCTAAGTTCTTTTCATATCTCTCTATCTATCCATCTAAGTTCTTTTCATATCTATCTATCTATCTATCTATCTATCTATCCATCTATCTAAGTTCTTTTCATATCTATCTATCTATCCATCTATCTATCTATCTATCCATCTATCTAAGTTCTTTTCATATCTATCTATCTATCCATCTATCTAAGTTCTTTTCATATCTATCCAAGTTCTTTTCATATCTATCTATCCATCTATCTAAGTTCTTTTCATATCTCTCTATCTATCCATCTATCTAAGTTCTTTTCATATCTCTCTATCTATCCATCTATCTAAGTTCTTTTCATATCTCTCTATCTATCCATCTATCTAAGTTCTTTTCATATCTCTCTATCTATCCATCTATCTAAGTTCTTTTCATATCTCTCCATCTATCCATCTATCTAAGTTCTTTTCATATCTCTCTATCTATCCATCTAAGTTCTTTTCATATCTCTCTATCTATCCATCTAAGTTCTTTTCATATCTCTCTATCTATCCATCTAAGTTCTTTTCATATCTATCTATCTATCTAAGTTCTTTTCATATCTATCTATCTATCTATCTAAGTTCTTTTCATATCTATCTATCTAAGTTCTTTTCATATCTATCTATCTATCTATCTAAGTTCTTTTCATATCTATCTATCCAAGTTCTTTTCATATCTATCTATCCATCTATCTGTCTAAGTTCTTTTCATATCTATCTATCCATCTATCTATCCATTTATCTATCTAAGTTCTTTTCATATCTATCTATCTATCTATCTAAGTTCTTTTCATATCTATCTATCTATCTATCTATCTATCTATCTATCTATCTATCTATCTATCTACATGGGTATATATCTATGTTCCTACCTATATCAACAAAGAATGAATAAAATTTCGCGAGAAAATGGAGGATCGACACACACACACACACACACACACACACACACACACACACACACACACACACACACATGTGTGTGTGTGTGTATATATCGCGAGAGAAAGAAAGAGAGAAGGAAGAAGTGGGAGAGCGTGTTGCTGTCGACATCTGGTTACCTTCTGCAGTCGCCGTCAACGAGTTTCATTTTGCAAGTATTTCTTTCGTAATCTTCGTGACCCAAAGTTACCGAGTGCGTTGGGAGGGGGGGAGACGTATTTGTTTTCGGTGGTACGCTATTAGCTCTTGTCGGGCGATGAGGCTGATGCTCTCATGAAATAGCACCCTCGATCTTCAACGAGCATTTCCATCTAAACACAATTTTCGAAGCCACCACTTTCTCTTCTTTTTTTCTGCAGTCAATACGTCTCGCCTTCTTTTCTTATATTTCTCTGTCCATAGTCTCCGGCTTTTATCTATATACATACCTGTATTAGCATTTCTCTATCTATCTGTCTATATCAGTTTTTTATATCCATTTTTTTTAGCCTCGTCATATCTATCTATCTATCTATCTATCTATCTTAGCCTTGTCATATCTATCTATCTATCTATCTATCTATCTTAGCCTTGTCATATCTATCTATCTATCTTAGCCTTGTCATATCTATCTATCTATCTATCTATCTATCTATCTATATTAGCCTTGTAATATCTATCTATCTATCTATCTTAGCCTTGTAATATCTATCTATCTTAGCCTTGTCATGTCTATCTATCTATCTATCTATCTATCTTAGCCTTGTCATATCTATTTATCTATCTATATTAGCCTTGTCATATCTACCCATCTATCTATCTATATTATCCTTGTTATATATATCTATCTATAAATCTATATTAGCCTCGTTATATCTATCTATCTATATTAGCCTTGTTATATCTATCTATATTACCCTTGTTATATCTATCTATCTATCTATCTATATTACCCTTGTTATATCTATCTATCTATCTATATTACCCTTGTTATATCTATCTATCTATATTACCCTTGTTATATCTATCTATCTATCTATATTACCCTTGTTATATCTATCTATCTATCTATATTACCCTTGTTATATCTATCTATCTATCTATCTATCTATCTATATTACCCTTGTTATATCTATCTATCTATCTATCTATATTACCCTTGTTATATCTATCTATCTATCTATCTATATTACCCTTGTTATATCTATCTATCTATCTATCTATATTACCTTTGTTATATCTATCTATCTATCTATCTATCTATATTACCCTTGTTATATCTATCTATCTATATTACCCTTGTTATATCTATCTATCTATCTATCTATCTATATTACCCTTGTTATATCTATCTATCTATCTATCTATATTACCTTTGTTATATCTATCTATCTATATTACCCTTGTTATATCTATCTATATTACCCTTGTTATATCTATCTATCTATCTATCTATCTATCTATATTACCCTTGTTATATCTATCTATCTATCTATCTATCTATATTACCCTTGTTATATCTATCTATCTATCTATCTATCTATATTACCTTTGTTATATCTATCTATCTATATTACCCTTGTTATATCTATCTATCTATCTATCTATCTATATTACCCTTGTTATATCTATCTATCTATCTATCTATCTATATTACCCTTGTTATATCTATCTATCTATATTACCCTTGTTATATCTATCTATCTATATTACCCTTGTTATATCTATCTATCTATCTATCTATCTATATTACCCTTGTTATATCTATCTATCTATATTACCCTTGTTATATCTATCTATCTATCTATCTATCTATCTATCTATATTACCCTTGGTATATCTATCTATCTATCTATCTATCTATATTACCCTTGGTATATCTATCTATCTATCTATCTATCTATATTACCCTTGGTATATCTATCTATCTATCTATCTATCTATATTACCCTTGGTATATCTATCTATCTATCTATCTATCTATCTATCTATCTTACTCTTGGTATATCTATCTATCTATCTATCTATCTATATTACTCTTGGTATATCTATCTATCTATCTATCTATCTATCTATCTATCTATATTACCCTTGTTATATCTATCTATCTATCTATCTATCTATATTACTCTTGGTATATCTATCTATCTATCTATCTATCTATCTATATTACCCTTGTTATATCTATCTATCTATCTATATTACCCTTGTTATATCTATCTATCTATCTATATTACCCTTGTTATATCTATCTATCTATCTATCTATCTATCTATCTTAGCCTTGTAAGCACTATCTATATATCTGTATTAGCTTTGTCACATCTATATATCTATATCAGCTTTTTATATCTATATTAGCCTCTTCTTACATGCATAACTCTATTACCATTTTCACATCTATCTATCTAGATATCTTTTAAGGTCTATCTATCCATCTGTCTTACATGATAATCTCTGATGAATGTTTTCACAGTGACCTCCAACTCCAAAACAATAATGTTTGCTAGCAATTAATAGTGCCACTTAAAATCACATATTAACGTTTTTTTTTAAATAATTTCATCCCAAGCAAGGCAATTAACCCGCTAAGATGCAAGGAGATACTGACTGTGGGATAATATGACGAAGAAAAATATTAAGGAAAGACGAAAATGAAAGGACAGGAATTAAGAAGACAGATGATAGCTATTGGCATTGCATTTCAATTTTTGTACATCAAAGTTGACCGGAAATCAAGAAGCCGGAAGAGGGTTCCACAAGCGAGAAGTGAGAGAGAAGAAACTGTTAGCATAGAACTTACGGTTACATCTAGCTATTTCCACTGTAAATTGATGTGATTTGCCACGATTCTAGTACTGTGATTACATTCATAAAGTTTAGGTATCACAGAGGTCAGTTCTTCAAAACAATTGCAATGAAAATATTTATAGAAATGGCATGGGCTACGTTACGGCGGTGAGAAAGTGCCTGAAAGTGAGACATTAGGTCAGGACGAATATTGTAACTAATTCTTCTTAGGATTTTATCAAGAATCTCTAAATGTACAATAGGAGCACCAGACCATATGTGGCAGTAATATTCAATGCATGGACGAATAGTAGACTTATAAATATATAAGATAGATTCAGGAGAGAAATATTGTCTAGCATAATATAGTGACCCGACTTTCCTAGCAATAGATCTAGCAATGGATTCAATATAATCTTTCCACTTCATTTTCAGATGAAAAACTAAATACAAAAAAAAAAAAATGATTAGAAATTTGAGTGTCTTTTTTCGCACTTTCCATGCTGCGTTGTCCGACCTTCATTGCCTGGCTGTGTTGATAGGGAAGACTTTTCTCAACCAGTTGGCTCATGACCAAAAACTACTTCCGTTTTTTTTTTTTTTGCTTCCCGGGTTAGGTTTCTATTTGTGATAGTTGCAGGTTTTAAATCTCTAATCGACAGAGATTTCATCTTCACAGATTTTGAACGCTCCTATCGAAAATACGCCGCTCCCCCTTTCAGTTTTGGGGTCGTCTTTACGACGGGGAAGCAAAATGAATAAGAAAGAACAAAGTCGATTACTTCTCCCTAGAAAGATACGGTTAATTTGGATTCCCAGCTGGAGAGCAATACGAAAGAGCAGGCTCTGGCCAGGAATTACCGTAATTCCCCATGTATAATACGCCTTCAGCCATAATACATACACCTAAAATTATACTGAAAGTGTGGGAAAATGCTTCTACTCATGCATAATACGCGCCCCTTGTTTGGTAATCAAACCCTATAAATTGTATCTCTCCAATTTCATTACGACCAGCGTTTCCTACTCTTATTTAAAAAATGGATTTAAACATAGAATAATATTATTTTAATTTAGTTTTATATTACTTATTATACTTATTTTATTTTGCAGCAGTTTTTAAGGATTTTTTTTGTAGCTGTGCATAATACGCACCCCTAATTTTGCTTATTATTTTTTAGAATAAATGCGTATTATACATGGGGAGTTACGGTATGTTTAGAAAGGTCGGTCGCTGACGCCACATAACGATAAGAGGCTCAACTTACTTTAAGAGCAGTTCCTGTATCCGTATCATTTGAAATGTAAAAATCATATCTGTTTGCTCACTTAAAGACAGATGAGCCATAAATATACACGAATGACAAATGTAACTTAGTCTACATGGCAACACAGCGCCATTTACCTTAAACTTTCTTTAAAATTAATAATTCAAAAACGAAGGATTTGCGCATATATGTTTATATAGACTTCTGTCCTTGTTTTCGTGTAAGGAACCCGTCCCCAAATTTTGTAAAAGTATTTTTGATAATACTATATATATATATATGTGTGTGTGTGTGTGTGTGTGTGTGTGTGTGTTGAGGAAATTGAAAGACAAAATGAAAATTTTAGTCGCGATGCGCTTCACCCTTTAGGACTTCATCGGATTGGGTTTATTTACGTTGTTATGACTACATATGCGCATGAACGAGAGACGCT